TCAAAACAAAAGCTCTACTTGGTTTGGGTCCAGGTAACCTACAGGATCGCCTTCTTCCATACAATTTTCCCCAAACACTGAGGCCCTCTGAGGGGCGTCTGCTCCAGCCTGCCAGAAACTGACTGGCTACCATTACCCAGAGGACATTTTCATCGGTCACCCCAAAACTGTGGAACGATCTGCCAGAAGAGCTCCAACAGCTAAATGAGCTGTCAGAATGTTAAGAACATTCAAATACTTATCTGTTCTGGCAGGCCTACCCAGTTAGTTTTAATCATGACTTTTAAAATTGCATCTTAACGTTTAATCTTTTTTCCCTGTGTATTTTAATATATACTTTGATGAATTGTTTTCATATGTGTGTTTAGTGGAATATTTTTAGATTATTGTGTGTCTTTAGTAATGTTGTTACCCACCTTGGGCCATGAGAAAAGGCGAGTAAAAAATATTATTATTATTATTATTATTATTATTATTATTATTATTATTTAAAAGAGGGCTATATTTTTATGTCTATGTAAAATATAGCCCCCTTTTAAGATACACTTTCCCTCAGATATGTTTACTGTATACACAGAAATATGCATTTTTGAGCAAATGTTCTCCTCTCCTTTTAATGTCCTGATGTCCAAATAGTACTTGATAGAATACAGAAACACTTGTATTCTTGTGTCATGTGGAGAAAATGGCTGAAATTATTAATTCCTACATGAACAATAAATAATAAAACATGAAGATTCATTTCCCTACCACATTTCCAAGTGTCAGCACGTTTTCTGACCATGTTTTCCAGTGATTGCATATTTACATATTAATCAGAAAGTAAATGTGTTGTTTTGTACTTTTATTAATACTATATCCTGTGCCTGACATGCAAACGAATTACTTTTGGTTGTTCTCAAACTGTTTCTTTTCCAGTGTTCATAGACAGAGCAAGAGCACAAGAAATATGAAAGTACAGTGTCTCTATCATTCCTTTATTCGTGCAAAATAATCTCCTTTGAATGAGTTGCCATGTTTCATTCAGAAAAACTTTCAGGAAACTATTCAAAGCATTCCCTTTCACTCCAGGTTTGCTGAATTGTTACATTTGCTAGTGTTTGTATGCAGATTTAGGGCTGGGATCTTAAGAATTACATCACAGCCTACAATAGAGGCCTACATTTAACATGGATTATCATATCATTTTGTTCTCATTGTCCACATTTTATTGTTTGGTGGCATTTGCAGTGTTTCATGTTGTAATCTTCTCTTGGTGGGTGGAAGCTTTGAACACATTGCATATTTTGGTTGCTTTTAATGAAATGAGAAAGACACACAATATCCAATCGCTCACTTTAGGCACAACAAACATATGTCTGCTAATCAGATTTGGCTGGTAACAATCTTACCTAGAGAGAAACCATTTGTAATAACCTGTCAGCTATTTGGTACAAAGGACTGAGAAATAAGGAATTAATCCAGCTGGTGTTTCCCCCTCTTTTTACCAGGTTCGATCCAGTAATTATCTTAGATAGAATAGCTAACACTAATACTTGCATACTGTCATTGGAACTACCTTATCTGTGACAATCATCCGGATTCCTTTTAACTGTTTTTTGGCACTCACTGTACTACACTAAACCTCTTCATTTGTGATATTTGTGTTTAAGTGAGTTTATTTAAAAAACAAACAAACAAAAATCTTGTCCCTGTATGATAACAAATCTGCTGATGTGTATAATTCCCACTGATATAACATGTGACTACTAAACTGGCTGTGTACAATGAAATAAAATAGCCATTATTGAAAAGTTATAATGCAACATTATCAGATTGAAGGACATAGTCATAGGCAATACTATGCTCATTCCTCCATATTCCTTTGCATGTTACAGACTTCTCATACTACTCTCGAATTCTTGAATTCAGTTGCCTCACATATATATCTAACTATCACAGTGGGTGCTTATTTATTTATTTATTTATCATGTCAGAAGCTAATTGAGAATACAGTTATAATGCATTAAAAAAAAACACAAACAAGGTTAAAAACTTGGCATTGTACTAAATTTGAAGTCCCTCTAGTGTCACTGTAAGAAGGTCCCCCACTGTGCATGTGACAGGGCACAGACTGCATTGTAGTAGGTAGTCTGTGGTTTGTTCTTCTCCACACTCGCATGTCGTGGTCTCTATTTTGAAGCCTCATTTCTTAAGATTGGCTCTGCATCTTGTGGTTCCAAAGCTCAGTCTACTCAGTGTCTTCCAAGTCACCCAGACTTCTGTGAGCCCAGGAGGGAATTTCTCATTCGGTATCAGCCACTGGTTGAGGTTCTGTGTTTTAGCCTTCCACTTTTGGACTCTTGCTTGCTGAGGTGGTTCCTGCAAGTATCCCGTAGATCTTAGAATACTATTTCTTGATTTAAGACATTGGCATGCTGGCTGATATCCGAGCAGAGGATGGGCTGGAGATGTCAATGCCTTGGTCCTTTCATTACTGGCTGCTATCTCTCAACGGGTATCAGGTGGTACAATACCAGCTAAACAGTATAATTCCTCCAGCGGTGTAGAGCGTAGACATTCTGTGATAATGCTGCATGTGTCATTAAGAGCCACATCCACTGTTTTAATGTGGTGAGATGTATTCCACACTGGTCATGCATATTTAGCAGCAGAGTAGCAAAGCACAAAGACAAGCTGTGGTTGTGATCCACAGCTTGTGCCAGTCAGTTTTCATATGATATTATTTCTAGCACCCATTTTTTGCTTGATATTCAAGCAGTGCCTCTTGTAACTCAAAGAAGGTCCAGAGTAACTCCCAGGTATTTGGGTGTGCTGCAATGCTCCAGTGGGATTCCTTCTCAGGTGATCCACAGAGCTCGAGATGCTTGTGTGGTTCTTAAGATGAAAAACACACATCTGAGTTTTAGATGGATTAGGAATCAGCTGTTTTCCCAGTAATAGGTAGTAAGAGCACCTAAAGCTTCAGAGAGCTTCTGTTCAACCATTTCAAGGCTCCCTGTTTGAGTGGTGATGGCACAATCATTAGCATAACTTGAAGTGCTGTTAAATAGCAGTATGATTCTTTGATACATGTGTAAGGCAGATGAATCTAACAAGTCAAGACTCAAGAGAAGAATGATGCATTTGTATATTGTGATATGAAATTATTTAGAAATTATTTTAAATATTTCTGCATTGCCTCCCTACTTATAAGGCTCCTGAGGTGACAAACAAGTAAAAACAATTAAAATAATAGAAATATTCTTTTTTTTTTTTTTTTAAAAAAGAAGGTATGAATGTACTATTTTCAAATACCTAAAAACAATACTAAAATCTGAATTTAAAATGGTTAAATGCCACTCTTTAGATGTCTGCTGGAAACTTTCAAGCAGTTGAGACAACACATTCTCTAAAGACATTCTGCTAAAGAGAAGACAACACATTCTGCTAAAGAGAAGTCCCTGTTATGTGTACCCAGCAATGTAATTTCATGAGGTGTTCAGACACACAATAGGGCCTCCTTCAAAAATCTCAAATTTCCGGCAGACTCATATGGGAGGAAGCAAAAACATTATAGTTTATTTTATTTTATATATTTATTTTAATACAATATTTATATTCTGTTCTATATTGGAAGATCTCAGGGCATCTAACAGGTAATACTTCCGGCATACAGAGGTTTTTTGTTTTTTTTTAAAGTCAAAGATACATAAGAGCAATTGATCTCCAGGCAATTTTCTCACACACAAAAAAACTTCATAACTCTATTACAATTGTCTCTTGGCTTTCATTTTCTCCCATGGGGATTAGCTTTTTTGCATTTGATCCTACCCAACAGAGATAAACAGGTCAATGGAGTAGAAATATTGGTATCCTTGGGTAGAAGTAATCGTGTTCTCTTGGGATTGTTCTACAAAGGAAAGAGGAAGCTAAATGTAGACCTCAAAAAGTTGATTTCAGATCACTTAGGGAAGTAGGAGATCCCATGGCTTGAAAATAATATGTGTGAAAAGGATCTAGGGGCCTTATAGGCCTACAACTGAAGTTCCCACCAGAGGATGTAGTATTGCCAGTCTTCTTCCTTGGTCAGGCCTTATGTGGAATATTGTTTCCATGTCAAGAATGACATTTACTATATGAAATGTCCAAAGAAGAGCAGTCAAGATGGTGAAACATCTGGAAACCAAGCCTTAAAAGGAACAACTTATGGAGATAGGCAGATTTAGCTGAGATAAGAGAAGACTGAGATTGACTTGATATTTAACAGAAGGGCTGTCATGTGGAAGATGGAGCCAGTTTGTTTACTGCTCTTCCAGGGACTAGAAGAAGAAGCAATGGGTTATAATTACAAGAAAAGTTTCTACCTAAGCATTAGGAAGACTTCAATTGCTAACACTGATGTTATCTGGCATATTTTTTTCTGGTCATTTGTGTTGATATTTTCAAAAGATTTTGAAAACAATGTACATAGTTATATGTTGTCAAATAAAAGGAAGATGTATGTGTTCAACTCTGTATCTTTTCTTCTCCTGATTCTTTTACTTGTCCTTTTCCCAATTTCACAGTAGTGAGCACAACACATCATTTATCATGAGACAAAGAGAACTCAGGGCCAAGAATTTTCCTTCCTGACCTAAAGGACAAGTTGGCATCTCTTGTACTGAAGCCACAGAGACATGAAGCTCTACTTTTCTCCAACACATACTAAAGTTGCCTACGGTTTAGGAGGTGTGTATATGGCAAAGAGATAGGGCTCTCAGGAGGAAGTGATGGGGACTGCCACAGATACCCCTTAGCATTTTCCATGGCAGATGTTTCCCCAGTCCACTTCCTAGCTGTATGCAAATACTCTCTGGGGTATTCCCATTTTAACAGAAGACAGAAAAACAGCAAAATAAGTTTTAGAAAGCACTTTCAGTTATGAGATTTATTCTGAGCAAACACAGATGAACTAGAACATTTGGGGATTTTTTCCCAGAAATATACCAACAAATACATCAGAATGGGTTAAATCTTACCTGCAGCCATAACTTGTTGTTCACTGCATCCCTCCCTGTAGCAATGCACTGAAATGTAGCATTCTGGCCTGCATTGACCTCCACATCCCCCAATCTCAAGAAATGAGGAGATTTATCTGCGTAGATAGGAGTATAATAGTTAACAAAATGTACTCACAGACTTTTTAAAAAAAAAACCTGTATACTTCTTCCAAAAGATACACATTATTATAATCGTTGGGTAAGACTAATTCTTTCATGAAATAAAACAACTGTTTCAGCTCACGAAAGAGAACAAAACAGTTTTCATCATTCTTTCCTTACTGCACTAACTCTGCTTAAGCTTGTCAAACATGAATTATATATAAAGTGATTTATAATACACCAGGCACAACTGAAAGGAAGTCCAAAAATTCAGACTGAATTTCCATTACATTTTGTATTTTGCCACTGCAATGTTAAACTTCAGTATTAACAATATAAAAAGTCAGATTTAATTAGCTGTATATAAAGTGTGATCCAGTTCAATGGAGAACCCCTTGTCAGTAAATATCACCTGCACCACTAGATACAGCAACATTTGACCCACTGACAAAGCTTTTCATACTTACACATTGCCTCAAGAAAAGCTTTGTAACAAAACCATTCGTGTGAAATATTAGGGTTGCAAAAGGTGGTAGCTGCTCTACTCTCCCCCTCCCCTCTCTCTATATAATCAGAATACCCTCTTAAATTATCCATGAATAGGCAAAACATCAAGGGTTCTTGGAAGACAAAGTACAGTCATTTTGTTATATTTTTAATTTTAAAAGTTCCATTCAATTGAAAAACAATTAAACTTTCATATTAATTATCAGAACCAAATGTCATATTTATAGCCTTATGCAGCCTAATAGGAATAGCATAACACCAAACCCTACCTTTTCTACAGATTTTCCAGTAAAAGTTTTTTTTTTTAAAAAAAAAGTATTTTTAAAATTTTACATAGAGGGGCAACATATACAAGGGGTGCAGTAGAATTCTGGGATATTTATCAAAGCAGCAATTCACCAAAACACTGGCGTGTAAGGAACCAAGGGCATAAGAAATGCCTTGGTTAGCTTCATATGTTCTCCCTGATGCAGTTAGCCCACCATAACTCTTAATGGTTTGTCATCTGATTTCTTTAAAAACACACATTATAGACGTTTGTTGGCAGAACAAAATTTCCAAGAGTGGTCAAAAAGATTTCTGCCTATATCAGAGCTTCTCAAACATTGGTCCTCTCCAGGTTCAGAACTCCATTTCCAGAATTCTTGGCCATTGGCCATTGTGCTGTCGCACGCTGGGCCTGTGCATCAAACTGTAGACAGGACATAAATTCTGTGTGCCCAATGGGACGCCGGGGCTGCCTCAGATTAAAAGCCTTTGGATTTCCTTAAAACACAGTCTCTAGAATACTTAAAGGTTCAACAAAGTTCTTTATTAATGAAAACAAACAGGTACTTTAAGGCTTTCTTAACAGTCTATTGGCTCTCTCTCAATCTTGTCCACAGGGAACAGGCACTATCTTCATAACTGTAACTAATGGGGAAATCCTTAACTTCTAATCTGGGCAGTCTGTCTTTGCCTCTGTTGGCGTGGAGCCCCTGCACCCAGTACCAACTGCGTCTGGCTTCCGCGAGTGACCCTTACCAAGCAGAGCTTTGTAGACTTCCAGGGGAAAAGGAGTTCAGGTTTCAGTGATGGCTGGCTGAAGTCCCTCAGCAAAGGAGCTGTAAGGCTGTATAATCCTCGGCCAAGCTATGGGACCTTTCTGGCCAAGCTGTAGAAGACAAAGCTTTCTACAGGAGCTCTTGGTATTATGTCCTGCATGGAAAGCTTCTCTGTGTGGACTGACCCAAAAAGGCTCCTATTCCCTCCAAAACCCCAAAAGGGGGCGGGACCAGGGAACCTAACTATAATTGACAGGTGGCTTGCCCTATGATTGCAGCCAAAAGAAGCCACCTATCTGCAGAGTCCCTGAAACTTAGGACTATAACAAACATTAAATGCAAAGCAAACAAAATTGGAGCTCCTGGTACTGTTGTACCTGCACAGCCATATTTTCTAGGATGCCTGAAGAACCAGAGTTTGAGAAGCAGTGGTCTACATACTTGGTCAGCCAGGCTGGTACAGGGTTATGAAGAATCATATTCAATATGGCTGCCCACAACAGTGAAACCCTATACGTTATTTTAATATGGACTCACCCATAACAATTAATGAAAGCAAGGATGAGATAATTTAGACATTTTAAACAGTATTTTACCAACTGGCTTTACAGAAAGTTGATTTTGATGTTTCTGTTCAGTCTAGAGCTTTGAGGATAAGATATTCAGCCAACAATAAAAAATCTGATGTTCACATTTACTATAAGCTACACTTCTGCGAATATGTGAGAAACACTGGGTAAAGTTACTTAAGTAAGGATAACAAAACAAAATTAATTCTGTACATAAACATTGTCTTTTTCTAATAAGTCAAAATAAAGAGAAAAGCAAAGAGAAGATGCAGCGGGGGAAGAACACCATCATCTGAATGATGGAAACAGCAAACAAACAATATTGAGCCTGTCTAGAAAAATACTATGAAAAATGTCATTCTTAATCCTTACCACAAGGGTAACTCAGAACCTGGATGTCATCAATGGCAATGTAGCCATTTCTTCCATCTGAGACTTCAGCTTCAAATATTACCTGTCAAAGGGGAAAGAAAAAAAATGTTTACAACACATAATGAAACAGAATTCCCATCAGTGCAGTGGGCAGATATAAGACTAGAAAGCTAAACTTTCTGTTATACTTCATTAATCAATTTAATGATGTTTACAGTTCTTTATTTATATCAAGGCCAGCTCTTAATTAACGCCACTTCATTGCTCAAATGTGTTCTTTCTGACTTGTTAGGTACAAAAATTCCACTTTAAAATGTGTCAGCTCTTTCCAATTTAAAAAAAGCCCAACTTTTAATATTTTTTTTTTAAAAAAAGAATGTTTTAATTGTTAGCATTTTCTGCCCAACAAGTCAGATGAACATCAACTTAACAGTCAAAGTAAAAATGTAAAATTAATACATTTGTATTACATTCATTCTTGGCTTACATTAAGCAATTGGCAAAAATGGCACACATTGAATCACAAAGTATCAAATTACACTGCATCATATTTCTCATCTTACACTTTACCCAAACCCTGTGCTACTTGAAAAGTATTATCAGATAAGGACAAAAAGAAATTACTGTCAGCATGTATAGGACAGTTATGTCTTTAGTTTATTGTAGCAGCCATGGACAACATGTGACCATCCAGATGTTAGTGGGCCATAAATTTCATCAGGATAGCCAGTGGTGGAGGACTATTAGAGCCATTGCCAAATAAAACTGAGAAAGCTACAGTTGTTCTAATTCTTGGGTAAACACAGAGTCCTGATCTAAATAAAGTCGCTAGTGTCTATGTGGTGTACAGATGAACAACCCCTTCTTTTGAACAACAAATTAAACATGAGCCAACGTTTAGCCTGCAGAAGAGAGGGCTGAGAGAACACATGATGGCTATGTATAAAGATGTAAGGGGAAGTCACAGAGAGGAGGAAGCAAGCTTGTTTTCTGCTGCCCTGGAGACTAGGATGCGGAACAATGGCTTCAAACGACAGGAAAGGAGATTCCACCTGAACATGAGGAAGAACTTCCTAACTGTGAGAGCTGTTCAGCAGTGGAACTCTATGCACCGGACTGTGGTGGAGGCTCCTTCTTTGAAGGCTTTTTAATGAGAGGCTGGATGGCCATCCCTCAGGGGTACTTTGAATGTGATTTTCCTGCTTCTTGGCAGGGGGTTGGACTGGATGGCCCATGAGTTCTCTTCCAACTTTTTGCTTCTATGATTCTCTAGTCTCAGGATGGATGAAGACCACTGTTGCATAATTTTTTATTACAGTAGAGCAACATTTCAGTATTACAGGAATGGATGTTAATTTCCAAGCAAGGATATGATGAAAGGATATGAGTGAGAAAACATGCTTTCCCTTCTATGCAGTTATCAGCTTTGGGGAGACATCTTTTATTGCAACCAACATGCAGTGGTGGTGGACTCTCCCTCTGTCCTTCCAATCATTCTGCTCCTCACACTAATAGCATTCATACCAACAACAATCTTATTTGTGCATATCCTCATGAAATAATGACCACATATTCTTCCACCAATAAATTGTTGCCATTTTGCTGAAGGAATGCTAGAAAATATTAGAGGTTCAGGGGATGAAACAGAGCAGTCATGAGAAAATTAATATGGATGTAGAATGTATACTATATGCAAGATACCAAGAGGTGTATTTCTGCAATTCCACTTTATCTACAATGCCAATTCAGTGACCGTGTCACATATGGATCCCACATCTGTGTGGATATCTCATTATTCTCATACCTCCTAGGAGGCATATCTCTGAAAAATGCAATGTGTTTTAGTAGTACTGTAATATTTCATTCACTCCTTTCTGCACCTGACCAGAGTGGAAATATTTGTGGAAAGCTCTGTATCTCAGCAAATTCCTCCTGAAATGTCTAGAGGCAAAGATATCCAATATATCCAACACTATTACAGTTTGGGGTGGGGATAAACATGTAGATATCTCCAGATGTATTCCAATTTCCATCACTGTTTACTAGTAAAAAGTTGTTCGATATTTTGCAGTGTTTCACAGTAGTAGCTTAAACAACAAGCCCTTTACATTTTCTTCCCTAACAATTCCTGTATATCCCATCTTGAGAGCCAAACTGGGAGTGTAAGACACATATATCTTCAAGTATCTCCATTCTCTTTTTTTCATTCATAGTAAGATAAGGGGTTGATTTTTGCTAAGAACAAAAGAACCAAATACAAAACTACATACGATACAAATTCCTTTCCAAAGCTCAGCCAGAGCAGACATCTGAAATAAATATTTTTGCCTTTTCAAGAACAACAAAAAATATGACTCCAAATGCAGAGACTCTGTATTCAGAATATAGTGGAAGTATAACGATTTAGATCCAAACTAACTGGTAGGTGAATTCAGTGTGAAATAGTAATGGTGCTTGACCTCTAGGTGGAAGGACAGAAGCCTCCCTCTATTTTCTAGCATCTGGAATAGTATCCAATATACACTGGAATTTCTAAATCCAGAGGGCCTTTGGAAGTCTGGTCTTCACAGCAGCTTGTGGAGTCAATAATAACAAGAGATTGGAAGCAAAAAGAAATGTTAGTGTATCAATGTGCAGATCATATCCTTTCAATGATATGATCAAGCAATGTTAAGATTTGAGATGATCTGTTTTCAGGGTTGACAATGAACTTAGGAAGGAAATGAGAACTTTACAACAAATAAGATGAGAGAACTTTGGAAACTGGTGGCTGACTATATGGGAAGATATAACCTAGAAACAAGTGTAATGGAAATGGAAATAAAATTTAGACGCACGTGTGTCTATTACCACTATTTTATTTTATAGTCTGACTTATAGAATCCTACCCTTTCCCTTGGAATCCACGTTCAGTTCTTTACATGATCAAATATTTTGCTTTGACTAAACAAAAAAGTCTGCTTTTCCTCCTCTTCGGTTTTATTCTCTTGCTAGGTTTCACCGTGCATCATTAAATTGAGCAGAAAGGCAGATTCCAACTGCCCACAACCTAATTGTCCTTATTTCAGCAGATCATTCATCTGGCAAATCATCTCTTTCTGTCCAGCTACAGGAATAGATGGATTCTTACTAGTTTAATTATCCGAAATGTGAGCTCAGATGTAGGTCATTTTTAATGTCTGGTGTCAAGAGCGATGCTAAGGAACTGGATACAGAAGGGACTTCCAATATGCCAGTATGGAAACAAACCTACACTTCAGCTTAGAAATGAAAAGACTGTTGCCTTTCATCCTATTTTATCCTCACTGTGTTCTGGAAACAAATCCCATCGTAGACCAAGGGCCCAGTACACATTTAACAGGGTTGGTCGGCACAGATAGGATTATTATATGCCTGATTATATAATAATAGAAACATAGAATAATCGAGTTGAGAGAGACCATGTGGGCCATCCAGTCCAACTCCCCCCCCATGCAGGAAAAGTACAATGGAAGTACCCCTGGGAGATGGTGATCCAGTCTCTGTTTAAAAGCTTCCAATGAAGGAGCTTCCACCATACTCTGAGACAGAGAGTTCCACTGTTGAACAGCTTGTACAGTAAGGAAGTTCTTCCTAATGTTCAAGTGGAATCTCCTTTTCTGTAATTTGAAGCCATTGTTCTGCACCCAAGTCTCCAGGGCAGCAGAAAACAAGCCTGATCCCGCTTCCTTATGGCATTCTTTCACATATTTATACATGGCTATCATGTGATATCATACCACATCATACTAGCAACGATGATCCATATAGTTAAAACAATGGTATTCCCCATAGTAACCTATGGATGCAAGAACTGGACCATAAGGAAGGCTGAGTGAAGGAAGATAGATGCTTTTGAACTGTGGTGTTGGAGGAAAATTCTGAGAGAGTCTTGGACCACAAGAAGATCAAACCAGTCCATACTCTAGGAAATAAGGCCCAACTGCTCACTGGAGGAAAGGATATTAAAGGCAAAGATGAAATACTTTGGAAACATAATGAGAGGACAGGATAGCTTGGAGAAGACAATGATGCTGGGGGAAATGGAAGAAACAATGGAGAGGGGCCAACCCAAGAGGGACAAACCAAGGGCATAATGGATGGATTTTATCCTTGAAGTGGCTGGCTTGAACTTGAAAGAGCTGTGGGTGGTGATGGCTGACAGGGAGCTCTGGTGTGGACTGGTCCATGAGATCACAAAGAGTCAAAAATGACTGAATGAATAAACAACCACAACATGTCTCCTCCCAGCCTTCTCTAAACATGCCCAGTTCTTAAAGACAATCCTCATAGGGCATGGTCTTCAGACCGTTGATCATTTTTGTCACCCTCCTCTGGACACATTCCAGATGGCCAATATTTCTTTGGAACGGCGGTGCCCAGAATTGGGCACAGTGTTCCAGATGAGGTCTAACCAAAGCAGAATAGAGCAGCACCATGACTTCCCTCAATCTAGACACTATATTCCTTTTGATGCTGCCCAAAATACCATTGTTTTGCTCAGCTGCTGCATTACACTGTTGGCTCATGTTCAACTTATTACCCACAAAAATTCCCAAGATCTTTTTCACATGCACTGTTGTCAAGCCAGGCATCACTCATCCTGTATTTTTTCATTTTTTTTCTCCCCAAGCATAGTACCTTACATTTGTATTTGTTGAAATTGATTTTGTTATTTTTGGCCCAGCTGTCTAATCTGTTAAGGTCATTTTGAATTCTGATCCTGTCAACTGGAGTATTAGCTATCCCTCCTAATTTGGTGTCATTTGCAAACCTGATAAGCATGCCCTCTAAACCTTAATCCAAGTCTATATAAATAAAAATGTAATGTTCGTTTGTGGGATATACATAACTCAAATTTGGACACAATACACCTAACAGGCCAACAAATGACCATCACTCATAAAAACACTGAAAAACACAGTGGAAGAAACTTAAAAAGCCATAAAACAAAAATACATTATAACGCATGCACAAAACCACACACACACACACACACACACACACACACACACACACATATGCACACACACACATACATACACATATACACAAATATATATA